TCGTGTTTGTGGGCGTGATAGCAAAAGTGCAGAAAAAGTCGCATAAGCAGAAGCTACGAAATGAAATCAAAAGGGCGTGGCTGTCGGAGAGGGCCTGCAGTAGTGTCTGGTGGGGCATGCTCGACGAAGTCGTGAATTTGGTTTGAAAAGTCGTGAGGAAAAGTTTTCGAGAGGTTATATATCATTTATATTTCGTGGTACTAGTATGGGCGGTGTAGTGCTAACAATAAGTCTGGCCCAATGTGCAGAGCTCAAATGAAATATCTCATCGGTTGCGTTCAACGAGATCTACATCCTAGAAATTAGCCCCTCACCCACGGAAAACGCACCCGCAGTCCCACCTTTCAGTGTCTCCAAAACTCGAGTACTAACTTCGCCTTTTTCAGAAAGTACAATATTTTCAGTTTGAGTCACTATGTCGAGGCAGTTCGGCGACGGGAGGGGCATTTTGCACTTTTGCTTCACTAGTTCCGGTTTACAAGTCTCACTCTGGTGAAACCTGTGAACTCTTGTGAAGCTAGAGCAAGCTCGTTTAGCCACCTGGTAAAACGTGTCAACTCAAGAAAAGGCTGTCTAGATGGGTCGACACATCGATGGGAAGCAAAATGCCCCCTCTCCCGTGTCTCCGAACTGCGCCCACTATGTCCACAATGTCTTCGGGAGACTCGCTTTCCCAACTCCCACAAAGAATTTGCGCGTGATCGTTGGCAATAGGACACCATTAGGACAAGAATGCGCCCATCCGTCGTCGCCGTGGCGATGTTTAAACAAATATGCGGCGCCTCCAAAGGTAAATTGTGCATGGAATGGGCCTTCGGACTTCCGACCGTTCCAAGGCCATCATTGTGGAATTAATGAGATTTCCACGTGTGCAAACGCCTTCAGAAGGGCATCCCACAGCTAAAAACTGGCGAATATGCCTAATTTAACCTCTTGGCAGGACGATATGGGTCTATTGCCTACGTCCAAACGGACATTCGTCCCATCCATTCTTGATGACGCCAAGGTGGAATGAAGGCCAGTGTAATAAGGACTTTCATTCAGTCAAAAGAAATGTGCTTTCCAACTTCCTATGGGATTTTGAAAAAGGACATTCTCTGGAGGAATCAAGAAGCCAGCGCTGGTATCAACTTTGAGCAGTAAGAAGAGTACAGGAGAACCAAGGGGCCGATCAAGAGAACACTGAATAGCCGCTTCGTCGCGCGCGGCGACTATCGCGGCGTTTCCTCAATTCGTGTCTGCCTGTCGATTGGAGCACCGGATTTCAACTAGGCTGCCACTTCATAGACATTTATCACTATTTTCGATTATACATCGGCACGTCCTGCCGCTGGGTGCCGATGAGCAAAATAAGGCTTCCCTTGACAATTCCTCCTCTGGTACAACCCACCCCCCCCCTATCCCACCAACCATCTATCTAAATTCTACCACTTAACCTAAGAAATTCTCCAGTTTCTCCCTTCAAAAACCGCCGTCCAACGGTAGGGAGAGTATATAGCGTCTGTGAAATGTGAAACGGTAAAAACAAGGAAAGAAAAGTCAGCAAAAGAAAACACTCGTTTGGGAAGCAATAACGACCATTTCTCACCCTTCCCCCGTCCAGCGAATAGGGTCCCCTTCCCCGAGGATCCCGAAGGTAATAGGTGCCCTGATCTATAACTCGCTTCCAACAATGTCATCCATCCATGGGCGACTCACCATACCATCACCAGGGACCAGCTGGATGGGATCAAGGGATCAAATCTTCCCAGGGACGAAAAGCCTGCGCTGACTTGAGCGCACTCTGTTCATGGCATACCAGACACGCGTTCACGTGCTTCAAGTAGTCGTTTTATATCTATGGGAAACAAGAGGCGTGGCTACAAGAGCGACAGCATTCCAGACGAAAGAAAGGCAGAATGGCGCTCACTTTAGGGCTCCAGTTGCCAAATGTAAAGGCAGTCTTTCGAAAAAAAACGCAAAGGGTCTATAAAGTAGAATAGAACACTAACAGTAACTCGATTCGAATTCGTCGGCAGCAAGCATCAGATTCGCCACAGCATTCATAGTACGACAGGAAGTCTGACGGAGGGCAGCGCCTGAAAAGGAATAAATACAGAAATCAAGTCTTCTTCAACAAAAGTTGATAGTTCGATTCTGCCATAGCAGAAATCAAGGTTATCTATTTCTCAAGCATTTTTCATCAAACCAGTATAAAGCTGATAATTGACTGGACAGCTCCATTTTTAGGAGCACTAGGATCATTTTTTGTTTTCACTGGATGCTTTGCAAAATCACTGATTCTTCTTCCTTCAGGTGGGCGGAGTTATCTGCGGAGGGCGGGGCCAATTGAGAGCTGGTCGTCCTATTGGACATTCTCATTGTCGTTCCTGTGACAGGGGTACACCAGCACAGTAGTTGTCAGCCCGCAAGTGCCCTCTCTCTCTTTCAGATGGGCGGGGTTATTCACGGAAAGCGGGGCTTCCGCGTTCAGGACTTGGGGTGACTTGACTTTTGATTCCAGGATGACATTCTAAAGTACCTGCCTCCTTTTTTCGGGAGCGCAGCTTTCCTCGGAGAGCGGGACTCCCGAACACGGAAAGCGCCGCTCATTCTAAAGAAGAAAAGTCAGGCTTGCAATCTCGCCTCGGAAATTGCCGCCGATCCTAGAGGCCAGTAAGGAAAACGCAGCAGATATGAGTCTCCGCCCAAAAGATCAGCATGGACTCAGTCTTTGAGAGTCAGCTGACTCAAAGAGGGGATCATGCCAGAAGTGTCGTCAATAGAGTCCGAACCAATGGAGCGCGTCTTGATTCATCTCAACAGGATTAGGCTAAATAAGGTTCGGATTCGGCGACGGTGAGGGGGGGGGCATTTTGTACTTTTGCTACTTCCCATCGGCGTGTCGACCTATCTAGACAGCACAGCCTCTTCCCGTGCTGACAGGTTTTACCATGATTTCTTGACCAACAGCTTCACACAAGTTCACAGGTTTCACCTGGGTAAAACTGATGAACCGGAGCCAGTGAAGCAACGAAAGTAAAAAATCCTCCCCCCTCCCCCCGTCGCCGAACTGCGCCCTCGGGACCACCTATTCTACCTCAAACTACGCTACACTCTTGCTTGTCTCCCAGAGCTGATAGGTTCCCTCAACCTGAGAACAACCAGTTGTCATTCCAATCAAAATTTCGAAGGCGAAACCAATGAGAGAAAACCTCAAAATCTATAAATTTTACGGCTTTTTTAGGCCTTGTTAATTTCGCAGCCGTTGATGGTGGACTCGCTTTTTTCAGGACTGAACGAAAACCGCATTACACTGAGACGACACTGTGTTGGTGTTAGTATTGTTTTCTGCGGGCTGCCTCGTTTTGCAAGGGACAAGTGAAAGGAAAATCTCACAGGCATGAGCACACAAGTAGACACAGAAGGCGCTAACCCGAAGAAGGGGCGGGGGGGTGTTGACACCTAGAAACAGTGTTTTCCTACTCCAAATCTGTCCTAGGACAGGAGCCTGAGAATGCTTTTTTTCCAGAAAGACGGCCAAGTGCCCAGACGGCTTTGTTTCAGCTCAAAATGGCCAGAATGGTGGAACCATCCTTTCCCAGTGTACCTACGGCAGCCGCTGACTACCCTGATCACTATAAAAAGATAATTTCAACTGTCCCAGCTGAGTTTTTGAGGAGCTCGAAGCTGCTCCGCAATGGAAAAGTGAAGGTGGGAGGCTGTAGAGCACGTCCTGTTACTGGGAAAATTTTTGCGAAGTACGCTGCTCCTCCCACCCCCCTCCCCTCTTCAGAGGTTCTCTCTCGTGCACGACCCCATTTGCCCATCCTACCTCCCATCTTCCTGAACTCTCACAGCTGCCTACCACTTTTCCCAAAATTTTTCAAGAAATCTTCATGTTTCTCCCTCTTTTCTTCTCCCCCCCCCCTCCCACACAACCGTCGAGAAAGGGAACTGAGTAAATATAAAGCAATTGAAACAGGAAGAAAAACTAAACAACCACACCACCTCTCCAGTCCAAATAGGACACTCTCTCTGGGATCCCCAACCTGGGACGCGTTCTGGGAGCCGGACAGCGGGCTTCTTATCACAGAGAATGTTGATTGTCAAATCATTCAAGTTAAGGAACGACAAACCACTAAAAATCGGGTGTGGTCCAGGCCACCGAGTAGTTCTCTTTCTCCCCAGAGTTGGTCGAATGCCTTCTGAAACATCTGACATGGTATTTACATTCATAGCCCCCCCCCCTCCCACAGTAATGGGCATGTCCGACGATGGAAATCCCATATGAAAAAGAGGGGGGGGGGGCGTAGTTGGTTGCTGAAAGAAAGGAGGGTCGTACTTGCACTTTCAGGGAAACGCTTTCTGTTGATGACTTTCAGTTTCCCCTTTTCACGTGCACGTTCACGTTATACTTCCTCCGTCCCGCTCAACAGCTCCTTTTTTTCAAGAAAATAAGTGGAGAAATTTCCTGAAAAAAAAACTCCGAAAAAGGCAGGAAGTTGGGAAAATTTAGAACAGTAGTAACTAGAAAGAGAATAAGAAAGTTCGTATTAGAGGATGAACTTTTGAGGGGAGATCGTATTTTGCCAAAATTTTCCCCGAGAGCAGGACATGTTCTTTCAAATATCACTACGATTCCCTATGGAATTTGCAGCCGGACATTTTTGCAGTTAGTGGTGAATAGCTGAAGTGGGGCACATTAACAGGGCTATTATGTCGATAAATAACGTTCTGTCCAGGGTCTCATTAAGCCGACTATCATCAAAAACTTGCAAAAATAAAAAAATACAGAAGAAAATGGGCCAGATTCGCAAGCTGAGCTCGGCAGAATATTCGATCGGCAGGTCAAAAACTTAGCAATAATGGTTGGTCACCGTGACATCTGTACGGTAGGTAGCCCCAACTTCACCTAAAAAATATCTAATCTTCGACAGCTCTGGAAGTTCTCTAGAGGTAGTCGTGAGAGGAGCACGTTTGGCTTGGTGGGGACATCAAATGATATTCAGCTAAGCTCGTGCAGCCCACCTTCACATGGGTTTACAGGCGCCCGCTTGTGAAGTCCTAAAGATTCTAAAGAATCTTTATGGATTCTGAAGACACATGGAATGGGACTAGTGAGTCCGTTCATGGTGCTTGAAGAGTTTCAGCAGTATATTCCATGAACGAATTGTCATTTTTTGCCCCTCCCCCTCCTTCTGTGGATTACTGACCTGGGTGCTGGTCGCGGGTTGTCAAAATACCATTTCCTGTAGCAAACGACGTCATCTGGATAGGAGAGATTGAGATCGGCAAGTAGAAAGAGTATAGTGAAGGTGAATGCATGCATTTGTGACGAATTTGTGGATGGTATTCAGACCGTTCCTTGGTCAAACAAACGAATAGCCGGCCGCCGCCCACGACGACGACCACCAAGGGGGGACACAGCACGCACAAGCAACGAAGGTGAAAATGTCGTTCAGAATAGCGCCACAGTTTGATTCATCACTGACGCAGAGTGGGCCGTTCTGACACGGACGATTTGTCAGGGTGGCGCAGTACAATTGGGAAAGGTTTTGGCTAAGAGGGGCAGGAATGGAGTTGGATTTGGCAACCATGTGCTGCCTGATAGATAACCTGATTATGAGCAGCGAATG